TTTATTTATTTATTTATTTATTTATTTATTTATTTATTTATTTATTTATTTATTTTTGGTACCGGGGATCGAACTCAGGTCCTTGTGCTTGCAAGGAAGGCGGCGGAACAACTGAGCTAAATCCCCGGCCCCATATTTTAATAATTTTAAAAAATTTAAACAGCCACCATATATTTTGATCACACCTGGTAGAAAGCCTGAAGCACACTGGTTGTTGGCTTCCCTTACTCTCTTACAACTTATTTTAGTACAGATATACTTTGTTATATGAGATGTTACAGAAAAGTTGTGGACAACTATCACTTTAAAAAATGTTTTTGTGCATTACAGGAGCTACAATTTATTTTTTTGTTTGTTTTTTGGGACAGGGTCTCACTATGTGTTGAGACTGACCTGGAACTCACTATGTAGCCCAGGCTAGTCTCGAACTCATAGTGATCCTCCTGCCTCAGCCTCCTGAGTGCTGGATTACAGGCATGCGCCACCACGCCCGGCTTAGGAGCTACGATTTAGAATACTTGGACTATATATAGTTCATCACTCTTTATTTTTCTTTTTATAAATCTTCATTTTTGCAACTACATGGGTTTTCATAAAATGGTAGTGTGCATTTATTAATGTAATCAGTGGTACACCAGACTGAAGTTTCCTAATTTGCTTAGGCAAGTCACACTTCTGTTAGAGATCAGTAAAATAGGACCTGATTAAGCCAGCTGGTGTACTTTGTAGATATGGTTGGTATTTGTGACTCTTATCTGTGAATATCACCATGGGAAGCGCATTAATTTTTATGGAGCAGGAACTATGCTTTTAATATAGCTTCTTTGGAACTTTTAGATACCATACCATGGCAAATAGAACTGAAAATATAAATTCTGGAGTGACTTGCTAGAAGAAGAGAACATTTTTAACCATGTTTTGAAAAATTGAAAGCAGATTTAAATGTTTCTTTCTGATTTGTATCCCTATAACTGGGACCATTAATAAAATATAAACCCAATGTATTGTACCCAGTAGATGTGCAGTAATAAATGAGTGCCTGATCCCCTCCCTAAGGAGCTTACAGTCTACCTGGGAAACAAGATACATACACACCAGCTAACTAGCTTGGCAAGGCATTGCATGTCTTACATCAGAAAACAGTCTGAAACATTTTTTCCCATTTAAGTTTTTAATCAAAGGCCTAATGTTGAAGTAAGGAAGTTTCCCATATATACAAAAAGAAATACAAAGGAGTAAACTATCTGCCCACTTCACGCTCTTCAAAGTTGCTTTTTTTTAAAAAATTAAAAATTGTGTTCTTACCAAAGGTAATTCAAAGTAAGAGAAGCTGTCTGCAGTTAATGATCATAATTTCTGAAGAACAAAAATCCAAAGAACAGAAAGTTTAGGGGAAAATTTTGAAGTTTTTAAAGTTTTAGAATGAGTTACTCAAAATAAATCCACTGGTAGCTAGCTATACAACAATATATCTTCTTAAATGTGTCTTCCTAAAAAGCTCTCTTTTAAGCTGGTTTCTTAAAAATCTAGATTATATGGGTAGGATTTTAAAATTACATGGAAAAGGAGACAAAATTTAAGAGTTGTTAAAAATGAGTGTGGGTAAAGAGGAGAGGAGGCATGACTCCTAATGGGAATGGGATTTCTTTTGAGGGTATCCTAAGAGAGCTAGTTATGATCGTTGTGGAACCAAAAACTCATACTAAAGACCACTGAATTTTAATATTAGCAATAACAAGGGTATAGGCAAACTCCATTTCTTTGCCATAAGGCCCTGGGAGATAGACCTAACTCAATGAAATGGTATAATAATATCTGTTGCCATAAAATAAACAGATATGATGTTTTAAATATTATATGGAGAATATGCTTGTAAAGTGAATCCGTTTTTGAAATAAATTTTATCTTTTGTACAAATATTAATAGGTCACATTTATTTAAAACAAAGCATTCTCATACTCCTTGATGTGCTAGAGGGAAGGCCAGACAGGAGGTCCCAAAACTAGGAGCACTGAGATGATATAAGGCAAGATTCCATCCCTGCTACGGTACTGGATTCTTACTGTTTCATGCCTCATATTTGGTTCTGTTGTGCCATTGTCATCTTTTGAGGACAAGGAGGAGTTATCATTCACATTGGGAGCTCCCTTGAAGCCAGAACCTGACTCTTTTTTTGTTTGTTTTGTTTTTTGATGGTACCGAGGATTAAACTCAGGCCCTTGTGCTTGCCAGAGGAACCGCTGAGCCAAATCCCCAGCCCAAAATAGGTTCTTGATACTTGTTCTTTAATTGAATTGCTCCAAGTTTTTGGTGGAGAGAAAATAGAAGGGAATGCAAGGAACATTTTGAGTTGTTTTTTTTTGGTCTCAGTCACGCTTAGCACTTTGTGTGTATTTTCTCAGCGAGTTCCTACTTCAATAACAGTATATCATTTTCATTTTAAAGATGTGAAAAACTGGTCAGGTATTTAAAAAGGTGCTACCCTTAGAATGAAGACGTTTCAGTATGTCAGATCCTACATTCACCACTGTGGTTCTGTTGGCTTTTGCACTCTGTGACAGACACCGTGCTTTTCAAGAATTGATGCTTTTACTCTATAGTAAACCGGTGAAGTGGGCACTAAATATGTTCCCATTTTTAAGATAAGAAAACTCAACTCAGATAAGTTGATTAACTTTCGCCCTAACATAGTAAGTGACAGAGTGCTGTGGAGCACAGCAGTTTTGTGTCTGCACATGAGAATTACCTGTGCCTCTTACACATATGTTCATTCATGTGCACATACATGCATGCTCAGCCCTGTCCCCCTACCTGGACAAATGCTCCCCAACTCTGACTGCACCTTAGGGTCAACTGGGAAGCTTTTGAAAGTACAGAATCCCAGGACCCTTTCCCAGACCAGTGAAACCAGAACTGGGAGAGTGTGCCTCTTCCGGCTTACAGGTTTACAAAGAACAGCTGCCAGCGTTGAAAAGCACTGTGCTAGAGACCATCTAGATTCAAGTTCTTTCTCGTCGCCCTCATATTTAGGCTAATGGCTTTAATTAACTCCTTGAGTGACATAAATGCCTTATATGATTTATTTATGGGTTTATGCAACATTTAGCCCCCGTTTGAAAACAAAACATGTTTGAAGAGATATTGTTAGATTGCATTTAAAGCAGTCCATTCAAGGAAACCGTGACAGGCAGCAGAGCTTTAAGAGTAGTGAAAGATCTGCTTCAGAGTCACCCTGGCTTATGCCTGGCCTTGTCTAATGGCCAGTGGGTGTAGCTAAGAATGTGTATATTTTGGCATCACTATTTAATATTATACCACCAAAAGAGAGTGGTTCCACTCTCACAACACAGAGGATAGTACACATAACTATTAAAAATTGTTCTAGCAATGAGTATGGCAGAGTAATTCTCATACATGGCGCGTTACACCTATTGAAGAGTGAACAAGAAAGTCTTGACATTCTCTGAAGGTATAAGACGAAATGTGTATGATCCATGGGATGTGAAAAGCAAGATACAGAAAGACAGTGGAGAATAGAAATCTATCCTTCCTGTTATTTTGGAACTGTAAATGTAACACATTTTAGTGCTCTTTATGTCAGTTTCTGTGCCTTATTTTTTCTTGTTATCCTTTTTATAGGAAGCATCCAGGATGTGGGAACATCGTGACATTTGCACAGTTTTTATTTATTGCTGTGGAAGGCTTTCTTTTTGAAGCTGATTTGGGAAGGAAGCCACCAGCTATCCCAATAAGGTATGGCACATTGAAGTCTCTTCTAGCTTATGTTCCTTTTAAGAAGCCTAGAGGTGATACCTGTATAAAAGAAATATGAGACATCTTTTTCTAAGATTTATATCAAAGATAGCAGTGGAACAATTCATTTTATGAATTTAATATATTGTGAAACTCTAGGAGCCTATTTTTAGAATAAAATTCCTGCTGCAACATTTAAAATAACTACACTGAAGACAGCAGTGTGTGTGTGTGTGTGTGTGTGTGTGTGTGTGTGTGTGTAGTAGAAGTAATACTGGATCAGTCAAAGGAACTAGTATGACCACAATTTTTCTTTTGTTGTTTTGTTTTGGGTTTTGGTACCAGGGATTAAACTCGGGTCCTTGTGCTTGTGAGGCAGGTGGCAGAACCACTGAGCTAAATCCCTGGCCCATGATTCTTAATAGTTATGTGCACTGTCCTCTGTATTGGTAGAGTTAGCAAATATGTCAAGAATGATATCACTGTTCCTTTTAAAAAACAATTTGCTTTTGGAAATAAATACATGTGGTAGTCAGGCAACATTGGAAATGGACTATCACTGAATTCCTTACTTTAAAACGGTAAATGGTATGTTGTGTATCACATCATTTAAAAGAAAACATATGGCAAACTAAGTCGAAATTGTTGATGCCAGGCCTCTACCCATCGATCCAACTTGTGTAACTTTTCATGGGCCAAGTAGAAAACAGGAAGTTCTTACAGTAAGCAGTGTATTGAAGACTCAGCATTCTTGCTTTGAGCGAAAAGTGGTATCCATGCAATTGTGAGTGCTTAGGAGAGTAGTGTCACATAATCCTTTGGAGAGTGACAGTCCTGTGTGAGTATATTCAATTACTCGAGTTAAAGCTCCTCCTTGTTGGTATTCTTTAGCTGCATTCCTGAACTACCTGCTATAGAAAGTCTGGCTGAATTTTGTTACTAATGCTGTACTTTCAGATTTCCTAATGCAGTGCTAAATATTCTGAATACATTTTTGGTTCTCATTGGCTTTAGTGTCTGCATTAAGTCTTCTGCTTCTGCTGACCAGCATTTTCAGCTCAGTAAGGAGCCCCAGTAGTTTCTAAATCTGTTGATCTTTTCGCGCCTCCTCCCATTAACGCATCGCATTCCCTCAACCACTAGCATGGATCAGGAACACATTCAGTATCATCATAACTTTTATAGTGATATCCTAGCTGGCTGACCTCCCTGCTTTCTACCTGTTTCTACCTTTCAGCTTCTACTGTTTAGCATGCCCCACTCCCTGTGTTTGCCAGGATGTTCCGAATGAAACCAGATGTCCCGACCTGCTCTTAAGGCTCTCCATGATCTCGCCTTAAAAACCTGACTCGCATGTGTGTTCTGTTTATGGTGGCTATAGTTTTTCTGTATGTAAAGCCATAATCAAAATGTTTTCATGTCATTCCTCCTCATAATTGCTTTCTAGGCAGTGTTTTATGGGCAGCCACGTGGAATAGGTGAGTTAATTATTCTGAAAGACCTTGATGAACTGTCTTTTATCTCCCAATGGCATATCTTCAAGATAAGACCAAAACTTTGGCAAGAACCCTTGCAAAATCACTATAGATACCACTTAAAGTTGTGAAAGGGTGGTTACTAGTGATTTTGTATGTATGCTCTGTTCTCAAACTTTCCAGACTTTTAATATAGTCTTGGCTTTGTGGACTTCCGTGGTGTAGCTCACATCTAACCACAACATAGAACAGGTTTTTGTCAGGGAAGATTAGTTAGGATCCAGTGTTGTCATATTCTTCAAATGTATAGAAGTGGAAAATGTTTGGAAATCTGTGTTCAAAGATCAACACTTCATGGAGAATATGGAACTAGTCATTTAACTTTGCCCTGCATTCTTTAGCCAGCTCTTTAAAATATTTTTCTCATATTGAATAAATGAGGTCAAACCATGAAGTTGCTGATATTACATTTTTCTTGACCTACAAGAAAATGGCAAACTGATCTAAACTAATATATATGAAAAACATCTTGAATATTTCCTAGGCAAATTCATTTATTTGTTCATTTATGTTCATCTGTATTTATTACTTTATCTTCTAAGTAACTGTGTTTACTGGAATTTCTTTTAGTTTTTTATTATAATTTTAAGATCTATAAACTTTCAAATAACATGAACCCTGTTTTTATTTTATTTTATTATTTTTTGAACCCAGTTTTTAAATACAATATACATGTCAAATGATGTCCTCACTAACTTAAATGCCATTAGTTCAGAATGTAGGGTAATTTTAACAGTTGTAGGGTGAAAGTAAGCCTTGACTTTGCAAATCTTTTCTTTAGAAATAGTGAAAAATAATAGTATAAATAAGTGTATAGAGGAAATATTTGAGAGAATTGACCATTTGGAAGTTCTTCAGAGGTCTATCAAAATCATATTCAGAGAACTAATATAATAAGACTTATCCATTCACTTCAAAAATACTCGAAGGTTATCTCTGAGTATCTGTGGTAATTTTTAAAGAATAGTTTTAAATTGTTATGTATGCTTGAAAAATATTAGAATAGTGTTTCTTTAAACATAATCTGTAATTCTGATTTTTTTCTATGTTTGGCTTTATGAAGTTCATTTATATGTACGTAGATAGTAGTCATGTGGTAATGATATTAGTATTTTAACGTAGATGAAATAAGCAGTTTTTAAACCAAAAATGTACTTTTTATGCTTCTTTTTCTGAAATACTAGATTCTGAACGTAATATCAGATTATCTGTGATTGGCTGTTCTGTCTGCATTTCAGGTACTATGCTGTAATGGTAACCATGTTCTTCACTGTCAGCGTGGTGAACAACTATGCCCTGAATCTTAACATTGCCATGCCCCTGCACATGATATTTAGATCTGTAAGTGCTGCTGGTCCCCCTGTGCATGTTTCTCTGAAAAGTATAATTGATTAGGTAGATTGAACAGATGACAAAAGTAGAAAGGACTTATAATAAGTGAAATCTAGAGGATAACAATAGGTTTGCAAAAGCCAGGTATGGTGGTGCATGCCTCTAATCACAGCATGCAAGAGGTTGAGGCAAGAGAATCATAAATTCAAGGCCAGACTGAGCTACATAGCAAGTTCAAGACGAGCCTGGATCCTTATTACCTAAAATATAAGGAGTGATCAGTAAAATCAGTTTCCTGCGAAACATTTTACCTTCACTTTCATTCATCTCATTGATTGTATATTCAAATTTACCCTTAATGTTGTTTAATTTATTTCTTGTCACTTCTTATTTCTTACCCCAAAAATTAACATTTACTTTTGGGACATGAAATAAGTACAGGTTAAAAACCCCTTATCTTAAATGTCTGGGAACAGAAATGGTTTGGATTTTGGAATATTTGTATATGCATAATGAGATATATTGGAGGATGGGACCCAAATCTAAACATAGAATTTATGTATTTTCATATATAACTAAATCTGATTTTCAGACTAAGGCTATTTAGCCTGTACTTCTTGTTTCTGATATTTCCTTTTAAGCAGACTTGAGGTAATAAAAGAAAATTCTTGAGGAAGAGAATTTATCCTTAAGCAGTACATATTTTCTTTTCAGCCTAAGTATAATGGTGGATCTGTGTATATTTTGTATGTAAAGAAGAACAGTTTCCAGAAGAGCAGGGGATAACTTCAAGGAGTTTGTAGGTAGGAGTGCAGAAGAATAAAAAATGAGCACTGGTTGGAATACCATTTCCGTGTGACCTGAGATTTTTGTAAGATTAAATGTGCTAGTCCCGACAAGACTTCCCAGAGCTAATTACAATTATTAAAGTGACCATCAAGGCAATAAACATGTAGAAGACTTTCTGTAAACACTTGTTAATTGATTGACACTTGCCCAGAGGAGAGAGGGGCAATTGCATGACTTCTTCCACTAAGAATGGAGGTAGAGGAACCTTATTCAAAGTCTTAGAAATTAGACAGACAGAAATGTTGACAAAAACAAGTATACGGTATTATTTATTCCTGTTAGCCGTAACTTCTACTGTGACCAGTTATTGAGAATTAGTCATTTTTATTCTCATTGTCATCTTTTAAAGATCTTATTATTTCATATGATAAATTTTTATGGTGTAGGCTTTTTGCCATTATAAGAACAACTGAACCTTATTAATTGTTCATTCTAGCCTCCTTCATTCCACGTTTGTCCCTGTGTGTTCATATTCACCTTGAATTACGTTAATTTTCTTTCCCTTCATTAAAACTGTGTCACTGTTGTCTCCTTTTACAGGGCTCTTTAATTGCCAACATGATTCTAGGAATTATCATTTTGAAGAAAAGGTAAGCAATATCCTTCTTATTTTATATGTAGAAATGATATCCTGCACTACCATAGTCACATAGATAGTCACTTGAATTCCTTTTCCCACAGTGATAAGTATGCTCTCGGCCATCTACCTTTTTTCTTAGACCTCTCTCTAAAAATGATGCAGTTTCTTGATGCAGTTGACCAGGGCAGAGACCCTGCCTGTGGCTTTGGAGTAGCATCTTCTCTATATAGAACTGATTAGTTCTTGTCATTGATGAATCTTTAGTTCCATACTAACCTATAAAACCAATTAATAACAAGCTTCACTGTATGGTATGGTCACCACCAGCCATATGTGGGTGTTTAAATTGTTTAAAAATGAAATCAATTAAATGTATAGCTTCTCAGTCTCCCTCATCACATTTTAACTATTCAGTAGGTACATGTGGCTGGTGATGACCACACTGAGGAGCCCAAATAGGGAACATGTCCAGCATGTACACAGGGAAGTTCTGTGGATAGTTACATGTAAGATGGTACTTACCAGTGCAACATAATGAACTAGGGACTACCCATACATATTAAAAAGACAATTCTCGACAAGCCCACATGGCCAAGTAGATGGAATGAAAAGGAGCAGGACTGCTCTTTGTGATTCCACCAGTGGCTCTCTCGGGGTAGGTGTGGGAAGTTTCCTACCTCTGGGGTGCCTTTTCAAAGTTTTTGTCTCCTACCTTCATCCTGAGCCTCATCCCTCACTGCTAAGGAAGAGGGACACTGGGGAGAGACAGCACATACAATCTGGGAAATTTCTCAGGGAAAGTTAATTCACTATTAAGACCAGAATTGGACATGTCCATACTAATTTCTTAATGTGTTGAGTCCCAGCCTTAGTATTAGAACTCTATAACAGTTTGGAAAATAACTGTCAATTTAGAGTATAGGAATCTGTAGTTTTTAAATAATAAAGGCTGCATCATAAAAAGCACAGTTGTCCTGCCTGACTAGGCTCTTGTATGGACCCTTTATCTCCTGAGATAAATACCCTTAGAATTGACTTCTTTTTTTTTAGGTTCTTTACATTTATACATACATATGTAATGATCACATTTGTTGTGTCCAAGGTGACCATTGTGCTTCTCAGTAGTGAAAAATTCACACTGGGATGGGCCTGTGGTCCCTCACAATCTGTGATCTTAGTCATAGCAGGGATACAAAAGGATGTATCCTAAAAGGAATTTTATCCTCCTGATACTACCTCAAGGTGTTAGAGGCTTTTCTCAAACATCTGTTTCCCCTAAGAATTTCTTTTGAATCTGTCATCTTAACTCTATTTAAACTTTTTGAGTCCCTTTTCTGTGTGTCACTCATAGAGCAGGAATTCCTGTAAGGTAACTAATACAGCAAATGAGCAACCTATCTCTTTTTATTTATCTTGAGTAGCAGACCCTCACGTTCATTGTGTACTCCTAATTCCAGGGCTTAAAGGCCAAATCTGTTTTCCTTAACTCTGCCCTCTGTTACTTTTTAGTCTGAGCTGTAAAAGTTCATCTTGATCTTTCCAGATTGAAGAGATTTGATATTTTTATGTCTACACCAGCAGTATCCACTTCCTCATCCTACCCATCTTCTCTTGGCCCTTTCTCTGCTTCTTAGCCAATTCCATCTACCTTTTATGAATTACTGTGACCAAATGATATAGTAGAAAAAAAATAACGGTTCATTTTATATGTTTAATTTCTTTTAATCCTTTCCTTTCTTGATCACCAAGAATCTGAGAATACTAATGATACTATTTTAATTAATGTCAAATGCCACTGTTCCTTCCATAGTTCTATAAATTGAATATTTCTTCCTTTTTCCCTAGTACATAAACATTTAAAAACAACATTTAAGATAGGGGGTTTTTATTAGTATATGTTTGTGGTACGTGTTTACACTCGTCTTGAGGAGTAGGAGGTGCACGTACATAACATTTCTTTTTTTAATCCCGTTGCTCTTCCCACACTGTTCCCTCCCTCCTCCTTTAAATCCCCTTACCCCATTTTCATTCTTGTTATTATTCTTAGCTCATGTTTGTGACGTATTATGTTTATCTTCACTGTGGGTGACATATTATGTTTACCTTCACCTGTGCATAGCATTTCATAAATCTTCCTCCTTCCTTTTCTTCTTCCCCTCCCCATCTCCATCGGTCCCCTGCACCCCTTGCCAATTGCAAGAGATGGATCCCCTCGTTTCCTCTCTCCATCCTTTATTTTGTTCTTTGTACTTTGCCTTACTCAATTGAGAGATGCCATATGATTTTTAAGCTAGTGTGTCTGATATATTTCACTCAACATTGTATTTTCCAGGTTCATCCGTTTTCCTACAGATGTCTCAAGTTTCCTTCTTTATAGCCGAGTAGTATTCTTAATCCATTCTTCTGTTGATGGGCATAGAGGCTGTTTCTTAGCTATTGTGAATTGTGCTAAACATTCTGAATGTTTATAAACATTGGTGTGCATGCATTGCCTTAGTAAGATATCGTTAGCTCTTCGGAAAAGATACTTAGAGGAGGACTAGCTGGATCCCATGGAATTTCTAACTTTGGTTTTTTTTCTTTTAGAAATCTCCATACTGATTTCCATAATGGTTGTACTACTTTATATTCCCAACGACAATGTAGGAGGGTTCCTTTTCCACCTCACCCATGCCAGTATTTATTATTCTTTGAATTCTTGACGATTGCCATTCTTACTAGTATAAAATGAAATCTTAGTGTTGTTTTACTTTGCATTTCTCCAGTGGCCAGGGATGTTGAACATTGTTCTGTGTGTTTGTTGACCATTTATATTTCTTATTCTGTGAAGTGTGTATTCGCTTCACTAGCCCATTTCTTAGTTGGGCCTTTTGCGTGATCTAATATTTTTCAATTCTTTATATATTCTAAATATTAGTCCTCTGAGAAATAGCAGGCAAACCCCCCCCCATTCTGTAGGTTGTCTCTTCACTAATTGATTTGTTTGCTGTATGGAAGCTTTTTAATTTGACATAATCCCATTTGTTGATTCTTATTATTTCTTGTGTATTTGGAATTGTGATCAGAAAGTCCTTGCCTACACCTCTGACTTCAAATGTTTTACCTACTTTATCTTCCAGTAGGTTCACCATTTCTATTTTAATGTTTAGATCTTTGATCCATTTTGATTTAATATACGGATCCAGCTTCCATCTTCTACAAATAGATAGCTAAGCACCATTTGTCAAATGTTTCCTCCAATGTATGTTTTCGGTTTCTTTGTCAAAGACCAAATAGCTGAATGTGTCAAGGGATCTTACTATTCTGTTCCATTTATCCATATGCCTGTTTTTGTGCCATTCGTATATACTGCTTTTATCACTGTTGCTCTGTAGTGTAACTTGAAGTCAGGTATTATGATGCCTCCTGCTTTGTTCTTGTTGCCCAAGATTGCTTTTGCTATTCTGGGTCTCTTCTGGTTCTCTCTGAATTTTAGGATTGTTTTCTCTCGTTCTGTGAAGTATGTCGTCAGAAAAGTTTTTTAAAAAATATCTTCTCCAGAGAATGGGCAGTTAAAAAATTTCCTGACTGGTGAATTCTGCTTCTTGTACCTCATAGTCTCCGTCTTGAGTGGTGGGTGTCTTATGACTCAGGGTTGAGCCCCCTTGAGAAGAAAATCTGTAAATACCAGTTAACACTGGGTCAGGCTCACATTTGGATTCTTGAGAGTACAGCGCAGTGTCATTTCTGGTCCATATCTCTTTCTATTTTTGTTTTCTGATAAAAAAAAGCTATTTTAAACAACCCCAAGGAAAGATGTTTAGAAACTAATTAGGGTCCTATTTCCTTCATGTACATCACTATGTGGACTGTAGGAAGTTAGTGCCTTGGTCACATTTTAGTGATTCATATCTAACTATAAATATCACTTGGAAATGTGTATCTGTGTTTAGCTAAGGTGTTTTTTTTTTCTTTCTTTGCAGATACAGTATATTCAAATATACCTCCATTGCCCTGGTGTCTGTAGGAATATTTATTTGCACTTTCATGTCAGCAAAGCAAGTGGTAAGAATCAGCTCACAAATCATTTATACTCACTAATTGCCATTAAGGCCCAGTTATCTGGCACTTGTTAATAATAAAACAAATAGAAATGCTCATGTAGCACTATAGAAGGACTCAGATCTCGAAGGAGCAGAGTGGAGAGAAATGGATAACATAAATATTTCTCTTGTACCTCAGCACATTTCATGTACTTCTGGTCTTTGTACCTAGTGTATTTTCTTATTTCCTAGACTTCCCAGTCCAGCATGAGTGAGAATGATGGATTCCAGGCATTTGCATGGTGGTTACTAGGCAAGTACAGTAATTACAATAAAGCTAATTGCCTCTGCAGTTGTGTTTGCTTGGTTTTCTCCTAAGGGAGATGTTTCTTGGCAAGAAAGTTCAGCTGAACAAATTATGCCATGGAAGAAAGGGGCACCTGGGATCATATATCTTGGAACCTTAGTATTCAAAAAATGAGAAAAAATGTCCACAGCTCAGGAAGTATGTTGTGCAACCTGAATCCATGTTTCATGTGCAACATAAATCTTTGTTTCCACTGGCATAGAGAGAAAAGTGTGTGCCTCCTTGCCCATCACACTGCTTAAAAGCAGTGCATGGGGTCTTCTGCATTTCTTCATTAGCTTTCCTAAGTGGAAGCATTCTGCAAAGGAAGGGCACATTAGAGCCACTGGCTGTTTAAATTTCCAGAGGAGCCATTTCCAAATCTTAGATTTAGTTTCTTTCCATGTGACAGTGTTCCCAAATCTGTCTGATCATCAGAATCTCCTGGGGAATTTTTAAAATAAAAGTATCTCTGTGTGGAATTAATTAGACAACTTCTGTAGAGGCTTGTTCTTACCCTGTGTGATTTGGAGAGGAGACTCTTTCCTAATGCTTTCAGTAATACCAAGAACAGATTGATACTGACCTAGTGGGAGAGAAACAGCAATGAGAGAACTATAATGAAAGAACTATACTCTCCTTACTTCTTGACTCTGAACTTTCTCTTTGTAGGATGCTGTTTTTTACATGGAAAGATCTTTATGAGCTATTAGAAAAGTACTTCAACCCCAGGAGAAATACTTGCAAAGATTCTGAACATATAATTCATGGAGAAAAAAAATTCAGTCTAATAATTTTATTTTCACTTGCGCTAGTCATCAAAGAAATGCAAATTAAACCCAAAATACAATATTTCTTTATTTTGGGCCTATCATATTGGCAAAATGATGAATGATTATTCTCATGGCTGCTGAGGATGCAGTAAGACAACCATTTTCGTCGTATCATTGGAAGTAGACATTGACACAGACTTCCTAGAAAAATATTATATATTGAGTTCTTAAAATGTCTATAGTCTTGGACCCAGTAATTCCATTTATAAGATTATGTCCTAGGGCCAGGGATTTAGCTCAGTGGTGCCGCCACCTGCCTTGCAAGTGCAAGGCCCCAAGTTTGATCTCCATTACCAAAAAAAAAAAAAAGATTATGTCCTAAAAAATAATTAACATTTTGTTTAAAGATTTATGTACAAGGATATATATATTTACTTTTAACGATGAGATAATCTAACCATTCTGATTATAAGACAATTAGATATGTCACAGCCACATGATAGGAATGATATGCAGTGATTAAATCACATTTTTGAAAAATTTTAATGACTTAAAGGAAAAATGCAGGAAAACATCATAAGAAACACAAGATACAAAATTGTATATCAAATATGATCATTATATATAAACAGAAAACTATAATGGTGGAATTGTGATTTGTATTTGTTTTTTAAATTTCAAGTATGTTCTATAGTGAATTATATTTATAAAAGTATAAGTAATGTTCTTTAAGAAAATGTCTAGAAACTAAGAAGTGCAGGCACCTTGTAACTTGATGTTTGTCTCATAGGCATTGGGGCACTGACTTTTGCTCTTCTGATGTCAGCAAGAATGGGTATATTCCAAGAGACTCTATACAAACAATTTGGAAAGCACTCCAAGGAGGCTTTATTTTATAATGTAAGCAACTCTTTGAATCTGGTGAAGTTGAAAATTCCTGCATTGTGATATGCTATTCCAAGTGAATTTCTGATATAGATGAAGGATCAGTTTGTTGTCAGTAAACAGCTGAGACCGGTAGACTGACAGACCTTTGATAAAGTTCTAAAGTGCAGTCAGAGGCAGTTGTCCATGGGAGGTGATCCTCATCAACCAATATGAACGAAATGTCTGTTAACCAGGAGCAACCCCAAGGGACAAAGAACCCTAACCTGCAACTTCCTTGTAGATGAAATCAGAAAACCTACAAAGGAAAAATAAATCCCCAAAGCAGTAGGCCAAGGGAATGTGTACAGGCAGACGTCTTTTAGACAGTTTGGGGAGGTGGGGGTCAAGAGGCATAAGTCTCCCAGATGAGCTTTATTCATTTGAGTGTAATTGATTACATGTGCTTTGTTTTCAACTGCTGATCTAGCACCATCTCCTCTAACTTCCCTTGTTTTCTTCTCTCTTTGCCGTTGAATATACCTGAACCTAGCTTCTTAAGTTCAGGGTGAGGTAGTTGCCTCAACCAGCACTTCCCCCAGGGGTTCCATTACTGTTGACTTTTTGTACTATAGCTGCAAATAAGCAGTCTGAGAGATTTAATTGTGACTGGGAATTTTTTAAAGTAAACATTTTATTTGGTTCCCATGTTTTATTTAGAACAATACCAGGCTCATAGTAACTGCTCAGTATTAACTGCAATTCACTGTTACTATTGCGGTGGTGTAGGGGGTGAATAGTTTTTGTCACACATCTCAGTCTTACATATTGTGTCTTTTTCCTTTTCAACCTCTTCTTATTCTTGTCTTCATTTCTTTTTCCCTGGCCTTGTATTGTCCTCATATCTCTTTCCTACCGGCTTTTTAAATTTTCTTGAAATCTGCCTCTGCTTTCTTTGTAATTTTAAAGTCCATTATGTTTGTTTAACCTTTCTCAGAAATAATAAAATACAGCAAATCCTTTTTGATAGGATGACTATGTGTTTAAGTTTCCTGTTCCTTTTTCTTGAGGAAAGGATGCTTTGCTTTGCTTTTTCTGTGCTACTTTGATTGTTGTGTGATGGCCATCAGACTCTATAAAGACAAGAACCATGCTTTAGGGTTGATATCATGCCGTATAATGTCATATACAGGGGCACGAGACCCATTTAACTTAGTAACTCTAACTTCCTTTTCTTTGTATTACTTATTAAACAATTTATGTAATTTTTAGTCATTGTAAAGCTAACGCAATAATTCTATAATGTTTTGCATACCATTTCTTCCCACAGCATGCGCTTCCACTTCCTGGTTTCATCTTCTTGGCCTCTGATATTTATGACCATGCAGTTCTATTCAATAAGTCGGGTGAGTTTAGGGTTATATGACAGAACTGCCTGCCAGTTTTGACTTGGTCACAGTTTTTTTCACATTCCTATCTAAAGGACCTACCCCTCCCTAAATGTCTGCCTTCCAGCAATAGAAATTAATCAGTAGATGCAGCAGCAAATGCTTTCCTGGGCCTTTTTCCTTTATTTGCAAATCAAATAAAAGAATATTTTCACATTTTCTCTTTTACTTTGAAATGTGTGTGTTTGCATTTGAACGTGCGATGTTAAATGTTCTGAGAATGCAAGTGAATAGTAGCTGCGCCCAGGACACGGACTAGAGCCCTGTGAAATCGGCAGCAGTCCAGCTCTCCTTGGTTCAGTTCATCCTTTTCTGCCATGGAAGGCAGAGCTGTTCCCAGATCCAGGTTGCCTGGGCACCAAGCTAAGCTGGAGCAGTGTGATGACAGGTCTCACTTCTTTGTTACTGGTTAGATAGGCAACAAATTTGGCTGTCAAAATGTGACACTGGGATTTAGAATGTGGCTCAGCTAGTATGGACAAGGCCCTGGGTTTCATCCTCAGCCTTATGGTGATGATCATGATGGTGATGGTGGTGGTGGTGGTGGTGGTGGTGGTGGTGGTGATGATGCAATATGACAATGTCCTCTCAATCTTTGCAGAACTATATCAACTTCCAGTCATTGGTGTGACAATCCCCATCATGTGGTTCTACCTGCTCGTGAATGTTATCACACAGTATCCTTTAGACCCCATTATCATATTTATGTCTTCTACTCTGCTATTTTGACATAGGAATGTTTATTTTTTTTCTTCTAACAGTATGAGGAAATGAGTCTGGTTTTTGCCTTTTTTTTTTTTTTTTTTTTTTTTTTTTTT